TTGTAGGTAAAGAAGAAGGGGTAGAGAAGAAGATAAGATAGGATACAACACCACCTCGGAGTAGGATATAACTGAAACACAACCCGTCGTCGGATACAACCTTAGCAAGGGAGAATCTGAAACAAAAATACCACAAAACATCCCTTAATTCTTTCAAACAACAATTTCCCATAAGGATAAAAACAAGAAAGGAAGAGGGGGAAGGGCCGGCGGCAGTGCTGCCCCTCCCAAATAGTTGCTAGGTCCTGCTAGGACCTGGACTAGGGCATTAGGGAACCAGGCGGACCAATTCTCTCCTGTCAATCAGTTGGCTCCCTAGCCCCGCGTCAAAAAGTATGCATGGTCGGTGTCTAGGGCACAACATCTAGGGGCCTTCAAATTTGTAATGTTTAAAAGAACACGTGCATGAGGCTTCATATACTTTTAGTAAAAAAATTGCATAATGGAGCTTTTATGTTATGTCAATATATCATGCATGAGCTGTTATCCCACCATACTTAAAAAATGCTTAGGGCTTTGGTACCTTCGTGAGAAATGCACAGACATACTAAGATTTTTCCCTTGTATTGAGACGATAAGCATGAGCACTAACTGCCAAGGCAAGCTGGTTGTGCTGCGTTATGTCTTTGTGCGAGGAATGAAGTTGAGAATTAATAAGGAGGTGAAGTGTTAAGGTTTGCGACGATGAGAGACATAAGCCTTTTCTTTTCTTTTCTTTTCTTTTCTTTTCTTTGATCTTTTTCTCTCTTTCTTAAATCATCTGTTTTTTGAACAAATAGAGAGGCCTTTGTTTCTTCTCTCTTTTTTTAGAGAGAGAAAGAGGGAGATGTCATGTGAGTGGTAGTTTGAGAGTAAGAAGAATAAACAAATATGTGGATAAAAATTGCGAAAGAGATATTTAGGGAGGAATGGTCAATGTGGGATTTGGTGTGCTTGATGGCAATAGCTTAAGGTTACTGGCAGAGAGGAAGGGATATTGGTTATTAGAGTTGTGGGTATTTTTGGTCGACAAAGGGATGTCAGCAGCTAAAAATTTTCGTAGTTTGTGGAGGTGTTAGTAGCAGCTATATATGGATTTTATGAGGTTCATCATTTCGTGCAGGCAAAAGGAGCAAAGTGAACCACAGAAGGATGCAGAGTTGATGTTAGTCAGCCACTAGAACAAGAGGTTCGACAAGTTTCTAGTGAAAAATGTTGGGTAGAGTTGTAGGAGTAAGAGAAGGTCGGCGGTTGCGTGCTGTTTGGCTAGTGATAAGAGGGTGGCAAGGAGAGAGCTACGTGAGAACATGTAGAGGATATTGTAAGTTCGTGCTGAATGGGAGGGAACGACTGCATTTGTCACATGATTTTGGTGTCATTTGTGAGAGCGAGGTGAAAGAGACTAGGAAGGGTGCTCAGGATGAAAGAGGGATAGATAAAAGTGCGCGAGATTGACATACTAGAGAGTCGTGTCAGAGATAGGCATTAATTGGCTCGTTTTGTTTTGTTTTTTTTATTTTTAATTGGGGATGAGAGATGAGACGAGATATGTGCTGAAGCACGAGATGCATATATGAGAGATATGGGCATCTCAGGGGGATTCGACAAAGATTTAGGTATTCAATTGGAATTTGATTTTAATTTTGATTATTATATATTAATTTCAAAAAATACAATAAATATTTGTGTCGTGACTTCTCAAGCAATTTATCATCGCTCATGTTTGTTGAAATTTCATTCTTGAGGGCGACTCCGACAATAGATATTTAGTTTGGGTTACCTTATATTTTCGTTTGATATTATCGTTTTAAATGAATAAAATATTAATCAATTATTTTTGATATTTTGAGCATATTTATTTTTTTATATTGAATTCAAGCTATTTCAGATGTTCAAATTTTAGATGGTATGTATCATGACTCGATTAAATTCATATGGTGACTCAGACAATATGGATATTTATTTTGTGTAATTTAAATGTTTCATAATTGTTAGCGCTATCTATTTTGGTAATTTGGCGTTTCATATTGACTTATATGATGACCGAGACAATATGGATTGACAGTAACTTCCAACAGCTCAAAAGCGTACTTCGGTATGCAAATGATTTTTTTTACCTTATACGTTGATTTATTATTACCATTTTAAATGAATAAAATATCATTCAAATGATTTTTCGTATTTTGGGCATGTTTATTTTTCTACATTGAATTCAAGCTATTTTATAAATTCAAATTTCATACGGCATGTGTGATGACAATATGGATATCAATTTTGGGTAATTTTGGCTTTTCATAATTTTTAGAACTTTCTATTTTGGGTATTTTTAACATTTCATATTAACTTATAATATGTTGATTCAGACAAAATGGATGTCTATCTTGGATAATTTTGACATTCCATATTGTTAGCACTGCTTTTTGCAAAGGTGTCGATGTTTGAGTGTTTTGATTGCGCTTGAAATATTTTTAACCAAATTGGTATGATGTCAGGTCCGTTATCTGCTTGAATAGATCTCTAGGGCTTTTTTTTATTAAATTTGATACTCCAGATGCAACAATACAATTTATTTTATGAAATGAACAACATTTGTTATTTTTCTTGTTAGTAATGTTTCAATTTGGACTTGCTTGTTCTTGTGATTGTTCGCCGTCTATTTTGTTGTCTTTGAAGGAATCAGTTTTGGAGCAGATATAGAGGTCAATCAGGGAAAATGAAGGCAATAAACTGAAATCCCAACACTTAATGTGTTGATTTTAAATCTAGATCTGTTGACTTGATTTCTCTCTCTTTTTTTTTTTCAATTCATTTCACCAAAATTCCTAGTAGCCAAAAACAACCTTTAGGAACCCAAGGGAATCATTACTTACCCACAAATTTACCTGGGATACTGAACTTAAGAAATTTGCTGATATTTAGCCTGTAGAGTGTCATCTTATAACTCAATGTTGATTTTGGTTATTTTGGGTAACAGCGTCGCTTCCTGAAGATTTCTACCATGACTGCGCAACACATATATATTTTCACTTGAACTGTTGCGATCTTACTTTATTCCACTTTGGCTTGATTGAGTTTGATAACAAATATGTTCAGTCAATTTGGTTCATTATCTCAAACATTTCTATCTTAACAACTTGGATATAAATTTACCCTAGGTGGAGTATCTAGTCAGAGATATAAATGATGCAAAATTCCTTTTTCATATCTTAATTTTTTCCTTCAATTTTTTTGGTTGTAAATTGGGCAGGTTCTCATACATTTTGTAAATCTATATCCTATTTTGACGGCTAATTAATTCTTATATTGAATTGGCTAAGTATGGGATTTCGTTACTTCTGTGCTGAATGATTGTTTCTTCAAGCAATTTGACAAATATTTATTAAAAAAAAAATATTTTTTCCTTTTATGGTAGTGATTGGTATTATCAAAAGGAAGGCCTTAATAAAAGAGTTAGCTGCTGCGTACCATGCTGAATGTATTGCTTGTGGTCAAGAACTTTTGCAACTTCAGAAAAAGTTGGAAGAGGTTCGTCTTTTTATTCAATTTCTCGTGTTCTTATAAACTGAAATTGCAATTAGTTTTCGTCAACTTATATACTGATTTTGTATTAATTTGATATTTCTGGGTCTTAATAATCATGATTCAGAATGAGATCTAATTGTTAGCATATTCATTCCTTCTCTGGATTGCCATTGTCTAAGTCAAGATTCACATGATTTTTGCAACTATAACATGGACTGAAGCTTTTTACAGATGAGAAATATGCTTTTTCTTTCACTAGCTTTTACATATGCTTGAGAAATTATTATAAATTTCTTACGTTAGGATTAGAACATTCCTTTGCAATTTTGTTTTAAGATAATTATGAAAATGTATAGAAAGCAACAAAAATAACATCAAGTGTTTTTGATCTTGAAGACAATATGATGTTGAGGAAAAAATGTTAGCCAAAGGTATGATGGAGGTTAAAATTTTTTTGAATGTGTAGAAAATTCTTTTGATGTTGATGAGTAGTAATGAAAATTATTCTATTGTGACCAAAGAATGCCAAATCACCAATTGCACTACGTCAACACAACGTTGGTTGCAAATATTTTACTATTTATTATTGAGATTAAAATTGGGCACCTTTATTTATGATTAGTGTTTATTTTTGGAGGATTATCTGTTTGTGAGTTTTATATATCAGAAACCATTATATGAATAGTTGGGATGTATAAAGATAAACTCTGCTGGTAAATGGAGTTCTTATGAGATTATATGATGAGAGAATTCATTGATATTTAGAAAAAGCAATTTTATGAAATAAATATAATTCTGGGTATGGTTTTTGAATTTGAATATAATTCACTGGACTTGGAAGAAAAAACTAATAAGAGCAATCACCTTACAATTATGCCACAATCATATGAAATATATCAATAATGAAGTCAACAAGTTTAATGCGCAATTATGAATATGATCAGTTGAAATCTACTCACAATCATGCCAAAGATGACCATGATCATTAGGTAGCAAATTACACATGGTTTGATGTATACAATTCATAATTATATCATATAGAGAAGTCAAGTAAAACATCCCTTATGAGAATGATGTCAATCCCACATCGAGTGAGAGCCACTTAAATAGGCCAAATGCCTTTCATTGTAGTAATTATTACTATGCTCCTTTATGTAATACTTCAAGCACACTCAAAGAATTTTGGTCAAAATAACACTTGATAACATTATACATCAAGGTTAAATAAAAAAATCTTTAAAATATGCGTATAATTAATGATTGCTATGAATTTCTCTTATTTTCAATTTTTTAGTGAACTCCTCTATAACCCTTCTATGATTCAAATATGCTTGTAATAATGAGTAATGGTAATGTTGGTTATATTATTCTCAAATTAACACTATAAGCTTGATGATTGCTTGTCCAAATCTTCGACTAGTTACTTCACTAATAAATAAGACAACATATAAATCATGGATCATATAATTATAGAGGCAGGATTTACATTCAAGTATCATATTAATAAATACCATCCAATTTTTTTTCTCATAAGTAAACTGAAACAATCCTAGTTAGTATCCATAAATCATCACAAAATTCTTGAAAATAAATCTGGACTTTAGGATTTATCTTTTGTTTGAACAATGAAATCGAGAAGAAAATAGAAGAAGGTGAACATGAACTTTTTTCTCTCTTTTTGACTCCCTCTTTCTAACTCACCTTTTATCTTTCTCAATTTGGCCCTTGTTGAGGATCTCTTTTGAAAACTTTTGACAATGTCTCTTTCAACAAGTCTATCGAAGATGAGTTCCCTTTGATCCTCTTCTTCCTTGGCTTCACGTCCAGCTCAAGTCAACTATTGTAATTTTTTCTTTCTTTCTCTCCCTTAAGTCACTGTTCTCTCTCTCAATCTTGATCTTGATCTCCCTCTGTCACTTGCACTCTCTCATAATAGCTGCACACTTTCCCTCCCTTATTTGCTTGCTTGACCTATTCAATAAGATGTCATGCTTGCCTGCATGCGTTGAATAGGACATGCCTTCGATGCAACGAATGAGGGTTCTAACACACATATTGGACATCCATTGGAGGTAAGCTAAGTAACTTAAGTAGGAACTATAGTCCGTTTGGGTTAACTGCAGCTATTTTATTAATTTAGTTGTGGAACTTTTATGATAGCTTTTTTTTTTCTTTCTTTCGAATTTTTCATGGATATTATAGATTCTGTCATTATAATAACAAAGTTGCAGCCAAATTGAAGTGTGCTGTCAACAATTGATTCCTTCCTTCAATGACCAACTCGGTCATATAAACTCATAAAAGTAATCAAATAAGAATGTTTATATTTAAAATCAAATATTAACTGCATCAATGTGATCCTATTAGTTTAGCCCATTAATGTAACTTAATAATCTATTAAAAATACTCGATTAATTTAATGACATAATATTACAAACTTATTTGTGCTATCTTTCAAATCGTTAGTTGGGGAGGTTTTCATGCCCCTTAGTTTGCTAAGGGTTGCTGTCCTCTTTGAAACTTATGAAATCATTCTTGACTAGCTAAGCATTTATAAATATTGTATTATTTAAACTCAGTATGCCACAATCCGTGTCCGGAGGACTGTTCAACAACATAGGATGTGATGGAGTGATATATAAATTTGTTTTTAACTCATAGAAGAAAACTTTTTTATACTTACTATAAATAATAAAAGTGAGCAAGGAAATATAAATTTAATTTTATTAAACCAATAAAATTACAATCATAGATCAACAAAGGAATAAAACAACACCTAATGAAAAGAAAACTGATAGAACTACAAAAACAAAGCTACTTAACCCTAAAAAAAATAATGAGCTGATGCATAAATTGAAAGCACCAAAGTGTGTCTAGTGCTAAATAATTGGCTCCTGTGAGGGCTGTCCGCCAAACACTTTGGTGGATTCTGTTTTAAGAAAATGTCAACAAGGGAGTTTGACAAATCGAAAGCACCAATGCGTGTCAAGTGCTAAATAATCGGCTCTAGTAAGGGCTGTCCGCCAAACACTTCGGTGGATTCTGTTATAAGAAAATGTCAACAAGGGCAAACTCAACAAATAATCGTTACTTGTTAAAAGATAAACGGTATTGTATTGAGGCTTGCATTGTAAGCAATCAAAATGGAAGATGGGCCATGTATTTGCCAGTAAGATAATTATCGTCATCTAATGATCACAACAACAATGATATTGTGATAATATATGATTGTCAGCGATCCAAACAATCTAGATTTCATATATGCTTGTGATCACAAATATGAATGAACCGTAACCATACCCTTCTATGCTAATATTTATATGCCACAACTCATTAATATTTACAGATGATTCATCAATCAATTATCTCTGACTAATAAGATCTAAATATAGAAGTACATATATTTATATGTATGTAATCGATTTTTAACAACACCCTGAACGAGAAAATATAGGCACAAATCCTATGAAAATTCAATATTTTCTCATAGGATATGTCGATTCGCTAGTCATCGCCAAGGGCTGAATACAAACATACTATTATTATAATGACGTGCATATCCCACACAACACAAGCAAGTCATCGGAATATTATTAGCAGTATGTCCAACAGTTTCAAATACGAAGCTGCATTGCAATAATTGAATCTAAAGTAGGAATAACTTGCAGAAATAATAAATATTATAAATATAAGAATCAATTGGATAAATAGGAATTTGTGCAGCAATATAACAAGACAAATATATACTTATGCGAACTACCACTTCATTATGAATGATCCTGCAACAAATGTATAGCAATATAAGTGAAATGCAAAGAAAAGACAAACAACTTACAAAATAAATAGGAATTCAATATAGTAATAAGGAGAACACCCCTAACAACGAATGCTATATTTATTCTCTAATAAATAACAGCCACCTATTTTGAAATGAACAATACAAAAACTCAATCAATTTGAGATTCAACAAGCAATGTGGGATAGAAATTCTTTGAAAAACCTACAACCAAAGATTCTTTTTATTATCTAATTCATATTAAATTAACTGAACACAAGTGAATATATGATCGAAACTATGCAAGTTTAAACACATTAATTTGAGGTTTATTAGGTTGAATCTAGACGATTTAACCTGATAGAGAAAAAAGTTGAGTATCATGAGCAAGTGATTTGCATAATCATAGATTAAAGAGATTGAATATTTCAAGCACTAATAAGATTCAACTGGCCTAATCTAGTTCCGAAATAAGTGATATTTAATTTATTTAAGGAAGTTAAATGAATCTAATAAGTGGGTGGTGGGAAAAGAAATAAATAGAAAGAAAAGGGGACAAGGGTTCACTGTTGTTGCAGCACTTATTTAGCGAGAGGACAAGAAACAAGAATGACTTCTGTTTGGTGACGAAGGATGGAAGATGTGGCGGCTGCTGGTTTGATGGAGGAAAGGAAGGTGGGAGATAGTTGTGGCTACTATGGGTAGAGGGCTACAAGTCATACGTCGCCCTTGTTTTTGGCTTGCTCTTATAACTGCAGTGAGGCGGTGGGCTAGCACGGGAGATGAGTATCGGCGGTGGGCAGGAAAAAAAAAAAAAAAATCCCGTGATCAACATGAAGGCGGTAGGAGCTGGAATTGGTCGCAAGAAATAGGAATGTGCTCTCTCTTCTTGCTCATTTGGTTCGGAGTAAGCACGTTTGACTCGGTTCGCTGCACAATATTTTTTATGTTTATAAACTAACATGTTGAATGGTTTCTAATTTTTCAATCATAAACTCAAATTATTAGGTGCTAAGGTATCAAATGATCATATCCATCAGTTGGTCTGTTTATATGGAATAAGAAATTTATTGAAATTTGAGAGAATTATAATGTTTCTTTTTCTATTTTTGTATCCACCGATTTGAGTTTCAGCTCGATATTAAGGTATCTTAGTTTGCATGATCGATGTTTCCTTTATCTTGCTGAACTTCAGACATGACCTCCATCATGAAGTTCAGAGCAGGATTATCTCCACTCTAATCCTTGAGTTGTCCTTGAATCTTCCCAAAGTCTTCATTTTGATCTGTTTTTATTCATCCATTTGAGTTTTTCAAGTTAATTAGTTGGTTTATTTATTACTTTCAGCAGCAATGCAACGAAAGAAGAGCTCCAGAGGTGACAAGGAAGGTGTTTAAAAGGCCAAAGAAACGACCAAAGAAGGAACGCTAAGCTTTGATGAACCGTTTTCAGATTATTCGGTAACAAATTTAATAACTGCGCCACAGCTTTGTAGTGTTTGTAGTGCTTTGTAGCTCCAATGCATCTATCGTTATTTCTGTGTTGTGAATACATAAACCTTTGATACGGGACTTACAAGTAGTGTATTAAGCATCGAGTAGAATGAAGGTTTTTCTCTCCTTTTCTTTTTCAACACTTCTATTTTTTAGGGCATTTACATGCATATCACCCAATTCTCATGTATTTACATATCTAATAATTGAAATTTAATTTTTTTTATATTTATACCCCTCAAATCTTTCCTATCACATAAAAAAATATCTCTATCTTAACTTTTGTAAAAGCAAAATTTTAGCTTTTCATGCATATGTAAGGTGCATTGAGATGTATGTAACAATTGAAGTTTAGACATACATAATCATTGTGCGGTATATATGTAAATCTTCCTTTTGTTTTTTTTTTCTTACGTTTGAATTTGAAGGGAATATGTTTTGGGTTTGAGCAGGCTATCAGAAGAAAGAATTGAAACTCTGACACTACCTGAGTGAGCATGCTGGTTTGTAGTTTTAAATCGATTCAATGTAGATTGAGTCCAGGTTTTATTGGAAGCTTGCTGTCCCATGACCGGTACCAATATATATATATATATATATATACCACACAAGTTGTGCCACATTCCTTGTCCAGTTGGTAGGCAGGGTCACTGTCCCCTCTGGCAAGGGTTCGATCCCACCCGTGGTGCGTGGGGGGTCGAATTATAGGCATATGGCGCGGGGTTCTCATCATAGGCCCTGAGCGCATGGACAATCGATATTTGAGCCTTTGCCAAATATGTATTTGCATATCTTATATCTAAACTTTTATATTTACATGCATAACACTCAAAATTTTTATTATCATATTAAAGATATCACTGTTATTAATTTTTTAAAAGTGAAATATAGCTTATAGTGTATAGGTTTTTGACACCAAATGTTATGAATATAAGTATCAAAATTTAGTTGTTAAATATGTAAATTTGTAAGAATAGTGTGGTATGTATGCAAAATTCTCTCTTTTTTATTTGCAATTATTTCTTTCCAACAAATTTGATTGTATAAAAGCTTTTTCATGATAATTTTTTGGGAAAAATAACAAGCAGCTGGGCCAAAATAAAAATATGATAAATATGCATTATGGATAGTTGTTAGATAAGTTCTTGTTTTGTAACCATATATCAGTGGAGTGCCATTCTGCTTAAAATAGAAAACACTTATTTATCCTCACAAGTCACAATACGCACAAACACCATGATTCTAGATAACTGATTTGAGTCTCTGTGGCTCACCAACATCATTGCTCCACAAAAAATATAGATGAATGCACACAAAAAAAAAGCCCAATAATATCACTAAATGAGAAACAAGCGTAGCACCCATTCATTACCAACAATATAAAATTATGGGAACAAGAGCAAAAAAAGCTTTCATGTTAAAATAGAAGAAATAATTGTCATTCATTACCCGTAATACAACAATCTAAAAACAAGAGAGCAAAAAATGGTCCATAATCAGCCGCCAGAACAAGCCATAAAATTTGGTCTAGAACCCATTTGACATTAGAGTCCATTCAATATTCTTAGAATTTCAAACTGAAATATTGAGATTAACGTCCTGATTAATCGAATACCAATTAAAACTTCATTGGAATAATTTTATCAAATTTAATATAACATGTACAATTATGTTTTCTTTTGCAAGAATGTCAAACTGAAGTTGTAAAAGGTTATATATATATATAAGAAAAGAAAAATGCAATAAGTAATAAGAAATGTATAGCGATGTAAATTTAACCAAAAAGACTTGATGATTTTTATGCTGATCTAATTAATTTACCATTGCACACTAGACATCCAACCTTTTAGATGAAAGTGAGCTCATATAATCATTAAGCACACAACCTCATGCACTAAACACCAACTTAGACACAACTATTGTGATTAAAATTGTAGAAATATATTTTGCCATCTTTGAAAGAGTTTAATAATTTATGACAAACATTTTCCAACACTCTAAAATATCAAACTCTGAATCAGAACGTTTAACACAAGCTTCTTCTTAGTATAACTCGAGGTCAGACTTTTGTGGAAGTAGAAGCCTTGTTGAATCTATAAAACTATATTATCCAGCCAAATCAGTAAGTACACTATTACTGCCTTGTGTTGTGACTGATGCCCCAACTTGAGAGTCAGAGGTAGTGGCTTCACTAACATCTTAACTAACTTATTATCTAGCAACAACATAATAAGAATACAACTAAAATTTTTTTATTTCACAGTATTTTTCTTTCATTCAAAATATCATCACCATAAATTTGAGGATAATAATAGTTGATGATAATCATTTTCATTTTAGGATCCAAAATAATAAGTAATTGAGAATAACATAGAATAGTTTGTCCAAAACTTATCAAATTTTGTTTCATGATTGTTATCATTTAGATATAAAATGATTATCAGATAAATATGCTTCATCCAATATTTTTTAAAGAGTATTGTATTTGGAAGAATTTTATTTGTTGTAGGATAACTTGAAACTGAAATAATCTCAGTTATTTGATGAAAAATATGAAGCAATTTTTTGATCTTAAATCAAATTGATTCCAAACATCCTCAAATTAGAATCATGCATAATTAAGATCACACAAAGCATATTTAGGTAAAAAAACTTTATAATAAAATGCAGAGTCCAATATTTTCTATGTAGAGTTCTAATGTTTTGACACATCAATGTATAATGATTTTGTTGCAAACAAATCAATCTGTCTTGCAATCTCAACAAGTTTATGAAATGACTCGGGGATCTTTTTGTTAATAGGATTAACTCAACTTTTTCAATCATCTTACCAATTTATTTCAACCTACCTTGCACCATCAAGTTTTAAATATGAGTAGTGCAACAAACAAAAAAAAATCTCCTATAATGAGAAAAACAAATCTTTTAGTGAACAATCCTCTCAAATTTCTAGCGGTTACATCATTGGAAGATGCATTATCCAAAGTAATGATGCATTACTCTAAACAACATAATAAGAATACATTTAAAAAGTTTTTATTTCACAGTATTTTTCTTCAATTCAAAATATCAACACCATAAATTTGAGGATAATAATAGTTGATGATAAGCATTTTCATTTTAGGATCCAAAATACAAGCAATTGAGAATAATATAGAATAGTCTGTCCAAAACTTATCAAATTTTGCTTCATGATTGTTATCATGTTAGATATAAAATGATTATCAGATAAATATGCTTCATCCAATATTTTTTAATGAGTATTATATTTGGAAGAATTTTATTTACTGTAGGATAACTTGAAACCGAAATAATCTCAGTTATTTGATGGAAAATATGAAGCAATTCTGTGATCTTATCAAATTGATTCCAACCATCCTCAAATTACAATCATGCATAATTAAGATCACACAAAGCATATTTAGGAAAAAAAACTTTATAATAAAATGCAGAGTCGAACATTTTGTATGTAGAGTTCTAATGTTTAGACACATCAAGGTATAATGATTTTGTTGCAAACAAATCAATCTATCTTGCAATCTCAACAAGTTTATGCAAATGACTCGTGGATCTTTTTGTTAATAGGATTAACTCTAACTTTTTCAATCATCTTACCAATTTATTTCAACCTACCTTGCACCATCAAGTTTTAAATATGAGTAGTGCAACAAACATGAAAAAATCTCATATAATGAGAAAAACAAATCTTCTAGTGAACAATCCTCTCAAATTTCTAGCACCCACATCATTGGATGATGCATTATCCAAAGTAATGGTGCTAACTTTATTTTGTAAACCAAATTGTAGCAAACTTTTGGAAATTGCTTCAAAATATCACAACCTTGTTGTGTGAAGGATCTAAATCCTTAAAACTAATTATCCTGAAAATTATTTTCCAATTAGAACTAATATAGTGCACAGTAAGACATATAACCAATTATTTGGCTAGATGTCCATTAATCGCTAGTGAGTAGAACTCAGTCAACCAATTTCAAATGCTTTTTTAGTTTATCTTTCCTAACTTCATACACTTTCATGTACTCTTTTTTGATAAAAGCCTTAAAATTTTACAATAATTTGGATTCATTGATTTCACTAAAATGTTTAATCATAAATGCTTAACTTGCATGAAGAGATACTCATGAATAATGTTCATCTTAGCCACAATGTTTTTTATTCTACTATGACAATATGCAGATGAAGCACAAAAAATAGAAACGATTCAGTTTCATCAATATCCCCGGTTATTGGGTCAAAGAGTTTTTATTTTTTTATTTCTACATTCATTTTACTATAATGATTTGTCCTAAAATTTCTGTTCATTTCAAATATGATTGCAGTCTTTTATTTCACCTAAGTTTTCACACAATAATTGTATATCTACTTATGTAAAATATCCCTTTTTTTTATCATTGATATTTCAATAAAGTGTTTCCTACCTCTAATCTTTATCTTTTACCTTTCTTATCTACATTTGAAGCAATTTCACCCACACTCTCTGTAGAAGTTAATGATGCATCAATATCAGGCTCACTTGTAGAACTATCAGATTTACTTTAAGATTGACTAGCCATTGCTTCTATAAAAAATTACAATATAAAGTTAATCAATAATCAACATATATATCATAAAGAAAGCTAAAAAAAAGCCTTAAATAGCTAGCTTGGTTGCATTTTCTAATTCATAAGAAATAAGAAGAGTAAATGCTCAAGGAGCTTTTTTTCTTTTCTTCCAAACACACCCAAGCATTAGCCATTAAAAAAGGGCCATAGAGCTTGATAAAAAAAATTGCTTGCGTTCAACACTTAACCATCTCCTAAATTCTATTTAAAATTCACAAACAGTGAGAATTGAATCAAGTTTAGGAGTTAGAGAAGTAAATACATATAAAATAAGTGATTTATGTAAATATTCCTTTTTTTAGGCATACTGATGTGACATGTCAACTATATGTAGCTTTTGCTATCGCTTGTTCAATTGCTTATGTAATTATCTGATTTAATTAGTGAAAATTGAGCTTAGGCTAACAATGCTCCTCAAATCTAAACCCTCATGAACAAAATATTTTTTAAATAAAGTGGGAGATTGACAACACAGGGCTTTGAAATGGTGCGGATGACTTCAGTTGTCAAGAAAATAA